CTGGCATAGGCTGGGGTAGGCTGAGGTAATCTGTGATGGGCTAAGGTGAGCTGGGCTAGGCTGCAGTAGGTGCTAAGGTGAGCAGTCACTGACCAAAAAACCCATCCCTAAAATACTAAGTAAACTACTAAATACGCGGTTTTTTAATTATATCTCAAGAACGGATGGTCCGATTTTAGCAATGTTTTCTCTCGGACCTCCGTTGGGCCTGCGCGGGCACTCCGGGGCAAACTTCTGCCTGTAGGTGGCCAAAGGGAGGTCGGACATGAACGGGACCTAGCCTATGGCACTCCCGGGGTCATCGAGGTCCTCTGTGCAAAATTTCAGCCTCGGGGGTTCCCCGGTTCAGGCGTTATGGAGGAACAAACAGACAAACAAACGGAAAGTGTGCTATATATATTTAGAAAGATAAATTAGTAAGTGTCCGATTTTATTGATTGTTATAATGAGGCAATGTAAAACATATGGTGAGGTAATAAGCACTCCTGTGAGGGATGTTTCCATGGAAAGAGGGAAGTGTACTTTGTGTACTGTGCGAAAAGCGAGACCCATACCTCCATCTAGTGGGCAAGAGGAGAACTTAAGCATTTCCTTAAAATTAACTCCTCCGTGGAAATTGGGCTCATTGGATCATCACGTCAGTCTGATATTGCATGGATGATGGAATGGCAAAATTGGGAAGTCAATATTGAGCCAATATTAAGCTGGTATTGGCAATAATGGCAAGATGCATGTAGACATGGTGCCCAATGTTGGACAAACATTCACCTAATATATGGTATGACAGGGGTAGTAACACTGGATAAGTTCTTGGTCGTTTTGCGGGAAGTTTTTTTCCCCTATTTGAAGATGCATATTCCATGAAACTACTTTAAATATTATTTAAAAATGCGATTTAAAAATTAATCATAATGCCATAGCACTGCTACAATATTCACCCAACGTTAGTCTTTGATCTTCAACGTCGATGACACTGTATTGCCTCTGGGGAAAAGTTCCCACAACGTTACTATGTTCTTTATCTCAGCATCCAATGTCTGGCAATTTTTAACATTTTGGCGTAGTGAAATATATTTCAATAAGATGCGATTCGTATGGAATGTAGATGAAACTGATTTCCTCTTAAAGTTTCATTAATATGATAACACTATTGTGAAAATAATTCTTTTTCATAAAGTGTTGGCATTTCGTCCTGAACAGAAACTTGTTAATTCCTATAGATACTGTATTTTGATATTTTGGTGGTATTGCAATTCAATTATTGGACTTGCATGAGCCCGGTGTATTCGATTCTGAAACTGAAGAACCCTCATTTTCAAGGAAATAATTACTTTATTCCATTTTTTTTCTTTTCTTATCCATGCCATGTAACTGAGGGTGATGGGACATCTGGTATTCATTTCCATGTGAAAAGTGACATCTAATCCGTCAGAATTTCTTTCGTGTGCCGTTCGGATGGTGGATCATTCGATTATGTCAATCGTTTCACTTGAAATTGATCATTTCAGGTACATGAACTGGGTTTTAGGATTTTACCACTTTCTGAAGTGAAGCGCATCCAGGGATGTATTATTAGTAGGGATTATTACTACATTAGTAGGGCATTATTACTGATTGGTTTACATCAACTTATTTGAGAAAGAAGTCAATAAAAATGTGTTCCTGTCAAGACGGAGTTCGATGTTTCTCAGTTTGTTTTTAGTGTCAACTTCAACTCCAAGTGCCTCAGACGCATATTTATTTGACATTGAAATATATGTGCGAGGCAAGTGCAGAGATCCTATTAAAATAAAATCCAGATGATAGAAATTACCCATCATGTTAAAAAATTCTCGAATTTGTATTCCTGCAGGGTGATCGACTCAGATATTCATCCTCCTTGAATCGCACCAACGTCAAGAGTTTCGCATTCCTCCATTTAAGTATATGAGTGTCACCCCAATAGTAATGCCCCACTTTCTTTTTCTCAAGAACATTATAATGAACAAAAATTAAGCTTCCCAAAAAATATTAATGCATTCATTGGTGACACACACTATTTCCCCACATAAGTCTCCTTCCAATTCAATGGCTTCACGCCATCGGAAAACCGAAGCAAAGATTCATTTTGGGTAAAAGTCCTGTCTTTGAAGAGTGGGTGACCACTGCTTGGCGCAACATGGTCAGCTGTATCTTGCTCTGATGTATTTAGGTACTTTGCCCATCGGTCAGCAGTGAACAGTCCACAGTATCTTGTCACTAGACATGCTACAGTCGTTTGTGAGTATCACTCGCTGATTCCCTCTCTGCTGCAAAAAAACCAGTCACGGCTCTTTGCTACGTATGTGACTGGATGACGCATTTTTTTATACTGCCTACTTTTGCGCTGCCTGCCAGAATGTGTTGAAACTGCTGTCAGAAGCGGGAGGTTTGAATATTAACACGTTGACGACCAGCCTATTTTTGCGTGTCCGCCGCGTGGGACCACGCGCATTTTTTTGTCAAAAAATGCGTCCTGCCATCAGGACGCATGGTCCCAGAAAACAGTTTTTTTTTTGCCGAGTTTTTTTTAAAGTTGAATTTTTTTGGCATTTTTATCAGTAATTATGAAATCATAATCTTCTGGAATGCTAGATACTCGATATCTGCGCACAAGACGTTTTTTGGAACCTGCATCCTGCCATCAGNTTTTATCAGTAATTACGAAATCATAATCTTCTGGAACGTTCTCAACAGTTCCAGAGGGTATTCATTGAAAAAAAATCTGCATCCTGGCATCAGAACGCATTGTCGCCAACGTGTTAATGCGCTCAAAAGTGTCATCACCTTCCTCTCTAGATTTATAATAAAAAAGTGGGGCGTTACTATCGGAGTGACCCTCGTAAAATGGTCATGAGTGAAAAGCCTCATTTCTATTTCTTTAGGAAGTCCACGATACGAAGCATGTCGTATGTGAAAGGGGATAAACTCCCGGTCTCTCGGTCCATTCCTATACTTTTGGGCTAACCAATTTAACATGCAAATACTGAAAATTGTAATGGGAATATAATAGCTATTCAATGAAAATGTCCCAATTACTTTCTTAAATTATGGAAGCATATGAACAGAACAAGTAGAGGAACATGTCATGGTTAAACAATGGCATAAGTTTCCCTACAGGACCTTATGCTATACGATTATGATCGGACATCGCTATGCTGCTTGGCGATTTAGAATTTAAAAAATATCTAATTTTATTTGACACAAAATTATCTCATGAAATGAGGCAATGTTTGCAATTGTACAGTCAATATGAACAAAAAGAAGCATAACCATTCAGGCATGTACCTGGTTCCTGGAACCATAGAGGTTTTTCCATCAGATTTTCGCGTGCAAAGTAAGGAGGTTGCAACTGTTTTCTTTCCCTGTGCAGTCATGAAGCAAACCAGAATGCATTTGCAGGCCAGGGACGGAAAAATACTGAATGCTAAGGATTCGGTTGCAGGGATTCTTTTTTGCAATTTCTGAAAATTGCAAAAAATTTATTCGTAACATGTCTTCCTTTACGTTGTGGCATTTCATGCTACAGGCGCTGGGTCTGTTCCTAGACGATAACGTCAGCTTCTGATCGTTCCTTGCATTCCCATTAAATTCCGAAGAACGAACGGACATGAGACAAAAGCCCTTTTCCTCGAGAATGCCCCTTGAGTTCCATCTCCTTAAGAATCTTTGAGACCTTCTTCAAAGCTTCTTCATAGGTCTCGAAGTTTTCAATCTTTGCTGGGTTGCAGGACCCTCTGAACGTAACCTGATCCTCCTCCAAGAGTATGCTAATGAATTTCCTGATATATGGCAAATAGGGCTTCATTGCCTTGGTCTTGTGCTCCTGGAATGTTTCATGCAGTTTTTTAGCTGTATATATCTTCTCCTCGAATTCCTGATGCGTTTCACGACGTGTTGTGTCTTTCCCTGGAAATATATATTTACAAGTATTGTTGTATAATAAGTATTGTTGTACAATATTTATATTATGAACTTTTCAAATTCATAGATGTTTCACGCAACTAGGATAACCTATGTATATTATGCAATTATTTTCATTAAAAAAAAGATTTTAGCTCTTATTTTTGGATAGGTGTAGTTGCATGTTCTCACCTGTGATGGGATTCTCCAATTCTCGTAGTTTGGTTTCAATAAATTGCAACTTCTTGAGATTGTCTTTTGTTAGTGTGAGGCTCACAGGTATCACATCATCATCCAAAAAGTCACGTATGTCTTGTAATGCTTTTCTCTGTTTCCTCCAAGCAACTTCTCCTTGAGGAGCATCTTCGACTTTGGTCATAACAGCTTGAAAATTGAGATAATGCGGGAAATCTGTTGGGACACCAGCTTTCTTCAGGGTCTTCAATACTGGAATCTCCTTTTTTGGCATAATCTCACAATGTGTTATGATGATGTGAAAATTATTTACCACGTCGTTACCGAAGATGGAAGTGACTTTTGCGTAGGCTGTTTCTGCCCGTGCTGATAGACGGTGGTCTGCAGATGTGACAACAAATGCGACGAGATGAAGTCGATTGAGACCGAATTCTTCGCTTTTAAACAACTCTTGGATTTTCGACCAATTATTTTCTTCCTCTTTGCCAACTTCAACGTTTCCAAATCCAGGTGTATCTACAATGGTAAGACTAAATCTGAATCGAAAACCAGGAAGACTCTCAATCGTATAGGCAGTCACGTTCTCGGTTCCACTATTTCCATCACCCTTTTTTGGGGCCGTGGCAACGATGAACCTGCAATCGTCACGGTACTCAACCCCCACAAAGTAGTTGACAAGTGCATTCACGAATGTGCTCTTCCCTGTAATTGCAAGACAATACCGAATACGCTTAATGTCATATATTTATTGTGTCATGCCATTCAATGGATATATGCAGATAATTAAGAAAGAATACTGAATAATGACATTTACTAACCAGCACCAGTCGGACCAATGACGAGCACAAATCGGGTGCTCGTATAGGACGCGTTTTCGAATTTGCTACCGAGGACTCGGTGCTCTAAGCCAGTTTTCTTGTACAGAGTCTTCATTTTCACTTCAAACAAAGCTACTCCATCTGTCACGCCACAAAAATTGGAGTTCGTTCTGAGCCATCCGAGTTGTCTTCCATCTTCGTCCTGTGAAAGCATAAATGTCAGGGTATGTGAATAAAATATGAATGCACTTTAGAATAGTTAATGTGCCTAAATTAGCCACCATGCTAACCATGGAAAACATGTTGTTGAAATGTGCTGTTCTAAAGTATGAGGTTCGTGCATTAAATGAGAATTCAGAATTTACTATAGCCTTACTAGTGTCATAATGATCCTGGTAAACATGTGTTTTTTCTACATAATCCCCTATTGCTCAAGTAACTTTTCTCATCTAAGTTCCTTCCCCACACTTGTTTTGAACTCCATGCAGATGCTGAATTGACATTCAAAAGAAGTTGCTCTTAAAAACGGAGAACCCAGTGTCACTAAAGGTCTTGTAATGAGAATAAACTGAATGGGGTAAGGTTTCAAGAACTACCGCCATTAAAACGTTCCAGTTCAACGTTCCAAGAAATTCCAGTTATGTTCGATCGAGTATTAGCTTGGTGGAGGATGGACCTTTCTTGCAATAGGTATTTCATATAGAATGTATCCGACAGCCTTTCTTATGAATAACATATCCTTGCAATATATATTATAATAAATTCCTCTGACCGGACATACTGGGACATTAAATTATTTCATAAACAGGAGAGGAACATGACAGTGCTCATATTTACGACAAACACAGGGATCAGTGAAACAGTAATGGAAAACTGAACTTTGACGAACAAGGCAAATCTTGCACTAGTGCCACGATGGTTATGCTTTTCACGAAAGTGTTATGCATAATATCATAATCAACAGGTACGGCTTCTAGAAATATACGGGATGCGATCCAAATGTATCAGAGCTCTATCAAATTGACATCACTTATAAAGGAAATGAACTTACCTGGAAATCTGAGGACACAACAACGTACTCTACAAGGCTCGTTCAATTAGTTTGCGAACTGGTGCTGGTAATCGCCTCATTTGAATAGGTTCAGTCCAGGAGGGAAAGATGAAGCTCTGTTATTATAATAGAACCTTTCTGTTCCGATTGAGGCAAACACTTTGAAAACAGTCACAAAAACGCACTGTGAGGGCGTATCACCCTTAACCCGCAGATTTGCAATGTCGGCCTTCTATTGCGTCATCCTTCCCAGAAGGGTTGCCAACCTATTCTTTTCTCAAGTGACACGTCAAAAAGGTCACATTCTATGTCCCATGGCATTGAGAAGCAGAAAAATGTAAATATTTGCCCCTAGTGCTCAGCTATCAAGATTTGGGCTCCTAATAAAATTGTGTGGTTGATGACCTGACTTGATCGAAAATACCTACATCGTTATTGCTGCAATATCATGTGCTCAAAGGAAACCTTTAATTGTGCGATACGACTTTGACTTTAATTTCCAATGTGACTTTAATTCCAAAGAAGTATTGTATGCCTTCTCAGCGAATTATGAACAATCAAGGCGGAAAATTGCCTTGGTTAAGTTTTGCTTGCAGAGATACACAATTCATTTCAATTAAACATAATCTTAATGTAAGTTGTGAGTAATCTCTGGAGTAGCCCTTTCTCTTGAAATTCAGAATGAATTCAGAAAATCTCACCCTAATGGCTGGCGGGCAGGTTATATCCAATAAGTGCTCGGGATAATCCGTCATTGAGTATGAACGGCTGGAAGAGAAAATTGATGGTATCAAAAAATTTCCCTTCATCAACTACTCATTACCATTTCATTCAATGCTTATCAACTAACGATCACAAACGCGCTCACAGACAGCGCAGGCCAAAACCAGGGGCTTTGATGACTACGTTGCTCACAAGGAGCTATGAACATTCTCTAGCTTGAATATTAAGTTGTTATTACGATATTGAGGAATGTGGGGGGGGGGCCACTAGAAGATTAAAAAAATTACTCATTATCCCTTACCTTACGAGCTAATTTACTGAAAATAAAAATATGTCGAACATTTCCCTTACTCAAAACTAAAGAGAATTTGCCTAAAGTTAATAACAATTTAAGTCATGTTTTGTAGTGTGATTTGACGTGGAATGTCTCAATGTGTTATTTGACAAGAGACAACTAAAAATTTTTCAGTGATAAAACTGTCAATATCTGAAAAAAGTTCATGATATCCCAATAAGATTCTCGATAGGTTCGCTCTATCTAACGAGGCGAGTTTATGAGGGAAATTTTGTTGAAAAATCAAAGAGGCGATATTTTTTGCTAAATGACGTCATAAGTTTGTGTTTGGAATTTCATCTCTCCGTCTTATTTCTTGAAGCATTATTTACAAATACAATGCTTTCAGGAAGGGCAGGAAGAGACCTTTCAGAAGATCCATGAAACATTTCTCTACCTTGAATAAAAGAGAAGTTATACGTGAATTTAGGGACAAAGGTGCTAAAAGGTAACATGGCAGACATTATACAGTCGACTCCGCTTAATGGAATAGTCACGGGACCAGCAAACTTTATTCTATTATCCGGAGTATTCCAATAACCGAAACCACTCCTGCTTCTTCACACTTTATCACATTTTTTTAAATGGCTACTGTACGGTACCTCCAAAAAGCGCTTAAAAGAAGCACATAACGCTTAAAAGAAATGTGTGATCTTCTGCTTCATCTTGGCAGCCAGCACATGACGTTGGACCTTGCTCTCTAGTTGATATATTTCGTCTAGGGCTGACACGCCCGTGGAGTCGATGTAGAGGCGCAGTCGATGAAGAAGCTTAAGAGCATGTGATCTTCTGCTTCATCTTGGCAGCCAGCACATGACGTTGGACCTTGCTCTCTAGTTGATATATTTCGTCTAGGGCTGACACGCCCGTGGAGTCGATGTAGAGGCACAGTCGATGAAGAAGCTTAAGAGCTTCACTGTTTGATGGGGGGGCTTCTGTTTCCTTGCCATCCTCCGGATGATTTTCATCTTCATCCGATTTATCTTGGTCTTGCCGTACCATCTGGAGGAGTTTGGCGTCACTGAACTCACCACAAACGTCCACATTCTCATTGCATTCAACATAAAGCAGAAATTCTTCTTGAGTCATTCCAAAGGGTGGATCCTCATTGCTCGCTTGTAGTGTTTCGGACCGTTCGGGTAGGTGTCAATCTTCAATTGGGAATTCTTGGGTAAGGTTGTGGACATTTATAGATAATTGAGTGTAATCTCTTTTTTTATATTTATCTCCAGGTGCCAATGNACTGCTTAAAGCAGTTGACCACTGTTGTTGACTTCACTTCATCCCATGCACTTTTCAACATATGAATTGCATCAAACAAACTGACAGATTTTGCCATGTCCTTTGCAGACAGGGATTCATCTTCCTCAAGACTGCTCAAGATCTTCTGCATGATCTTCCTACGGTAGTGGCACTTGAAGTTCTTGATACCACCTGCATCCATAGGTTGAATTAATGACGTTGTGTTGGTCGGCAGATATTCAATCTTGATACTGCTCAGCTTGAGGCTTGCAGCGCTCCCGTGACATGTGACATTATCCATAAATAGGATTATCTTCTTTTTCTTTTTCTTCATGGTTTCATCCAGGTCTAAGATCCACTTATCAAAGACCTGCTGGGTCATCCAGGCATTCTTGTTTGCTTCAGACGGCAACGGGATGTTCTTCAGATGCTTGAAGCACCGAGGATTCTTGCTTTTACCAATGATCAACGGTGCTTTCTGGTCGTCTCCTGTCTGATTGGCACAAAGGAGTACGGTAATCCTCTCTTTAGTTTTCTTGCCACCGCGAACACTCTCATTCCGCTTCGCAAAGGTGCAGTCGGGAATTTCACAGAAAAGCAAACCAGTTTCATCACAGTTGTATACTGCGTCGGGAGAGAAGTTTTTCACTAATCCTGGGAGCACATTTGTCACCCAGGATGCTGCCGCTTCTGTATCAGAATCTTTGGATTCCCTGCAGATCTTCTTAAAAACCAAGTTGTGTCGGATCTTCCACCTTGATAACCATCCTTCAGAAGTGAAGTCGGGTATGCCTTTTTCCCCTGCCAATTTCATCGCCTTTTCCTTCAGGAGAGCTCCATCGATCGGCAGTCCTTTCAATCGCATCTGCTGAAACCACAGCCACAACGTTTGGTCAACATCTCCTGCCTTCCTTCCCCGTTTGCACTTCCTGTTCTGGTTTCCGTTCTTCTTATATTCCACCTCTAACGCTTCCTTGTCTTTGATGATCTTGGAAACTTGCGGCTGGGAGATCCCGAACTGCCGAGCCAGTTCAGTTTGCGTCTTCTTTTCGTCTTGATGGGCACTCAGAACTGCAATCTTCTTGGCCAAGCTGAGGTCCTTCCTTCTCCCCATGGTGAACTCGGAATGAGCAGATCTGTTGCTTAGAGACTCTATTTATTGCCCAAGTGAACTTGCTTCCACTTTCACCTGAGGTCAGGTCGTCTCCACAAACACCCTAATTTCCAGGAAGGGGTGGTTCCACGAAGCATGAGGGTGGGAACTGGGAAAGAGGGTCGGTGGGGATTTTCCAAGAATGTACAAGGAAAAAATAAGCCATTTGTTCCTCAGAAGATAAAGGAAATTATTTTACCACCCAGGAAAGTTTTATTCCTTTAAGCGAATTATTCTAATAACCGTATTCCATTATGCGATTTTTTTTATAATGCGTCCTATGGATGAAAAATCGGGACCGGGCAATGGTATTCCATTAAGCGGTATTCCATTATGCGGAGTCGACTGTATTAATATTTAGAGCGTCTCATCTTCGATCCAAGCGTCAGAAGAGAAAAGTATTTAGGATGCCCCATTTTATTCAATAGCACATAGTTTTGGTTAAAATTTCATCAAAATTGGAGGATATCATAATTTTTATTGTGCTGATTTGACGTGGAATGACGTGGTAGCTGCAAACGCAATTTATTTTAGAACCTGTTACGCATGTATTGTGGTAGCATCTACTTTAAACCTCACTCCTAAACCCTATTTTGAACTGCAGCACCTGTAGTGAAAAGAAGAAACACCTCACTTCCACTGAGGTGTTTCTTCTACGGCCCGAACAGATTGAAGTCGCTGGGCGAGATATCGGGACTGCATGGGGGCTGATCGTGGATCCAGCAGATTTAGGAGTTCTTGAAGATGTAGTCCCAGTCGCGCACACAAGGACTTCCATCTGTTCGGTCAT